AGTAAAAGATTAGGAGTGACCTAAGTTGACCAATGAATAGTGAACGAGAACATTCCAACACAGAGGGAGTACTTATCTCAAATATGTCACCTAGAATCCAGTGTCAAATAAATAAACAAATCACAAATAAATATGACTTTATACAATATCAAAATTAAGATTTGAGATTCTATCATAAATGTCAACATGATAACTATGATTAGTCGAAATCTTAAATATTGATCTATTTACTCAATGTACAAGTGACAAACACCGTATTTTAAAAAAAAAAGTGACAAACACCTTTACCAAATAACATTATGAGATAATGATGAATAACATTAAGAGCCCGTTTGGAGAACTCTGTTTTCGGCTTATCAGGCTTATCAGCCAGCTTTTTCACCAAACACGTAACTTTTACTTTCGCGCGCTGAATTTTGTAATAAGCCGAAAAAGTAAGGTTGGAGTTACTTTTCTGGCTGTATTGGCTGAAATTACTGTAGAGGACCATTTTAGCTATTTTTACATATAATTTTTTCTTAAATTTATTAATAAAATATATTTTTAAAATATTTTTTTCTTAAATCAGCAGAATCAGCCAAAACAGCCACTCCAGCCAGAATATCATAAATTTCAGCAGAATCAGCCAAAACAGTCGATTTTGGTGCTACCAAACGGGCTCTAAAATATAAATACACGAAGAAGAGAAACATAGTGCACTTTCTCATTTCGTGTGTGATGATGATGACTCGAATAACAATTAATACGTAATATAATGGAGTAACAATAATGACCTGTAATTGATTAAGAAGTGATCATCAATTGAATTATTAATATAAATTTGGGAAAACTGTCAAATAAGTCCTCGAACTTTCATAAAAAGGTCAATTAAGTCCTTCTATAAGAGGTTTTGTGCGGCCGTCGCGATTTGGGAAAGTTCCCGGTGGAATTTTTTGATGAAATTTTTTGAGCATCTTATTCACCAAGTCTAGTTTACTCATACCAAATTTCAGCTAAAAATTTAATCAGGAACACATTCAAATTAATTCTTGAAGATAACTGCGCATTTTTGCATTCTCGAATTAATTTGAATGCGCTCCCAATTAAATTTTTATCTGAAATTTTGTATGAGTAAACTAGACTTGATGAATAAGATGCTCAAAAAAATTCATCAAAAAATTCCACCGGGAACCGCCCCAAATCGCGACGACCGGACAGAGTCTCTTATAGAAGAACTTAATTGACTTTTTCGTGAAAGTTCGAGGACCTATTTGACAGTTATCCCTATAAATTTAAATATCGCCCAGATTCTATGTCTTGAATATATAATTACTTATATAGAGAGTACAACGTATAGGGTCCATGGCCAGCCAACGAGGCCATAGTTGATGCAATGTAAATGTGACGACTAATTAAGTGAATGTATAGATTCACTAAATTTGATCAAAGAAATTGTATCGTTTTCATTATAAGGATTTTTCATAAGGACTAATAGTGTCTTGATTGGTTTGATCAGAATTAGTCTAATCTAAACTAATTCGTTTAAACATGATATGATATGATACCATATGTTATACGGAGTACTACATAATTACATATTACCTCCGTCCCTTTTATATTGGGACGGAAGAGGGTGACACGAATTTTAAGAAAAGTGAGTTTGTGTGATTGATATTATTTGATAAAATATGAATAAAGTAAGAATGATTTTGAGTCACACAAACTTTACCAAATAAGGTATGAGACAATTAAATAGGGGCATCCCAATATGGTAAAATGAGACATTTAAAAGGGGACGGAGGAAGTATATAACATGTTTAAGTTTAGTGTGCTATAATTTAGTGTACTGTGAGTTTGTTGTGGTTTGATATTAAGTGGAATTTGATATTATATGTGGCTTAACCTAATCGTTTTCTAATAATTTCATTTAAAATTGTTTAGTTGTTGAATTTTATTATTGAAATCAAATAAAATGTTAAACTATTGAATGTTTTGGCAATTATATTCTGATAATCTCATAAAATGTTAAGTACAGAGTATATTGTAATTTTTTAAATTGTGGATTTAATGGTTTAATTAACGTTGTTAATTTGTTATAATGTCAATTATACAATTATACTCATATTTCAATTGTAGTTTGTCTTAGTTGTTTGATAAACAATCACTATGTTACGATATTATACACCGAAACCTAAGCGGTCGAGCAATGGTGTTTTGTTCATCAAATAATGTTAAAAAGGCTTGAATAGAAGTTGAGTTGTCGGATGATGACATTGTTAGTGATCATGGATTGCGTAAAACGATTGACACTTGTGATGTTAATATAAGACACGGGTTGAGGAGGCGTTATGTGACAAAAGGCCCTTGCCAACCGCGTGAGTTTAAATTTCCACCAACTGATTTTAATGGGTGCAACATATCATTTCAAAAGCATTGGTTTGAAGAATTTAATTGATTGTAGTATAGTGATTTTATTTAAAGTTTATAGTTTTATTTATTTCTATATTCGTGATATTTATTTCTATATTCGTGATATATATATGATTTCTTTGTTAATGAGCCCCTGCAAGTCATGAGTCCTGGTTCCGCCACTGTATATGTACATCATATAATAGCAGTCTAACCCATTATTCATATAATAGAAGTAAATCTAAAAAAATAAATATAAGAAGAAAACAACATAGTGCACTTCTCATTTTGTGTGGGATGATTACTCGATTACCAATTAATGATCAATAATTCATTAGGAAGTGATCATCAATTGAATTAATTTTTTATAGTTGAAGAAAAATATAGTGTATCAAAATATCCATCGTCAATATTTCATACGCTACAGGTTCATGATGTTTTTTTATTAAACCACAACCAAAATATCAATGGAAGAAAAGAAGTCTTAAGTCATAAAGAAATAATTTGTGAATAAAATATTTTAGGGAAAACTGTCAAATAGGTTTTTGAACTTTCATAAAAAAGTCAATTAAGTCCTTATTTAGGAGGCTCTGTCCGGCCTTCGCGATTTGGGACGGCTCCCGGTGAAATTTTTTGATGAATTTTTTTAGCATCTTATTCATCAAGTCTAGTTTACTCATACCAAATTTCAGCTAAAACTTCAATCAGGAACGCATTCAAATTAATTATTGAAGATAACTGTGCAGTTAAATAAGCAGTTATCTTCAAGAATTAATTTGAATGCGTTCCCGATTGAAGTTTTAGCTCAAATTTGGTATGAGTAAACTAGACTTGATGGATAAGATGCACAAAAAATTTCATCAAAAAATTCCACCGGGAACCGCCCCAAATCGCGACGGCCGGACAGAGCTTTCTAAATAAAAACTTAATTGACTTTTTTATGAAAGTTTGAGAACCTATTGTCCAATTTGACAGTTTTCCAATAATTTACAATGGTTAATTTGAGAGGTGCAAACGACACAAGCACGAGTTTTCCTAGTAAAAAAGAGTTGAAACACTTGTTTTTCGAGAATAAACTTTCGAAACAAGTGTGGGGCATATTCTTCATTGTTTTTAGCTCGGAATAACCTGAAGTCCTGAACTCCGAGGTTCATTTATAATTTCTTTTCATCGATTAATGATAAGTAAATCTTATCTTCTCAATATAATTGTTCATTTAATTTTGAATTATGAGTATTTTTAGTTAGGGATTTGAAATTCTAGAATGGCTGTTCATATGATATAGGGTTTCTTTCTTGACGAGTTAATTGGTGATATTATATAATTTGTAGAAAAGTTGAATGTTAAAAGCATCTCCAATGCTATGATGTAGAGGTGTTCATTGGTTTGGTTTGGTTGGTTTTCGGTTTCGTCGGATTCGGTTTTAGAAAAGGTGAAACCGTAAACCGAACCGCACTACTTGAGTCAATTTCGATTTGGTTAATTTCGGTCGGTTTGTGGCGGTTTCGGTCGTTTCTAGCATGTTTTTGTCGATTGGTTTCGGTTCGATCTGTTTTTTAACCCACGCCAAAAGGTGAAACCGTAAACCGAACCGCCAATGAATAATCAGTTTCGGTTTGAGTCGGTTTCGATTTTGGTCGATTTGCCGGTCGGTTTTGGTTTTTCTGTTTTTTTGGTTCACCCTTACTACAATATGCACGGTGCAGATGTGGCATGAGAGGTAGTCACATAAATATTAACAAATAAATTATCTCTCTCCATATTTTTGGTAATTTTTTCTCTGCAATGTCAACCACAATGTCAACATCTAAACGGTCTTCTTGACATTATGGACAAAAATTTACCAAAATTGTATAAAATCATTTAAATAATGAGATATATAATTTATTTGTTAATGGAAAAGAGTCAGATAGGTCCTCGAACTTACATAATAAGGTCAAATAAGCCCTTATATAGGAGGTTCTGTCCGACCGTCGCCATTTGGGGCGGTTCCCACAAATTTTTTTTGATGAATTTTTTTGAACATCTTATTCATTAAGTCTAGTTTACTCATAACAAATTTCAGCTAAAACTTCAATCGGGAAGACATTCAAATGAATTCTTGAAGATAACTGAGCAGTTGAAAGCGCAGTTATTTTCAAGAATTCATTTGAATGTCTTCCCGATTGAATTGTTAGCTAAAATTTGGTATGAGTAAACTAGACCTAATGAATAATATGCTCAAAAAATTTCATCAAACAATTCCACCGGGAACTGTCTCAAATGGCAACGGCCGGACAGAGTCTCCCATATAAGGGCTTATTTGATCTTTTTATATAAGTTCGAGGGCCTATTTGATCTTTTTCTCATATTTATATAATTATCTCTCATGCCACATGTGCATCGTGCACATTACATTGGAGATGCTCTAAGGATGTTTTTACTTGGACTGTAATTTGCCCCAGTCCAGATCAGACCAGACTTAGATAGTTATAAAAGTATAAAGAAACCAGACCAGACCAACAAATTACAGTCAAAGCAAAGATCAGGAAAAAAAAAAAGCTGACAGGGCCCATGGTAATTTTTTATTTTTATTTTTTTGGTTATTTATTTATGGTTTACACTTTACAGTTTACACCAAGCATTTTAAATTATGGCTAAATGCCCATCTATTTTAATAAACTCGCCGGTAGCTCCCTGCCATCTGCCGCGGATAATCGTCAATTGTACTTCTCCTTCCCTTCCGAATTTCTTCAAATTTGCAGCGGTTTCACATCGCCATAAACGCTCATCAGCGTCGTTCTCTACAGTATCGTCTTTTTCTTCCATGGACAGTCCGCCTGAGGGTTACCGTAGAAACGTTGGCATTTGTCTCATGAGCCCTTCTGTCAAAAAGGTGATTTTTAATGCGTGTTTTTATTGATATTCTGATTGCTGCATTTATGCTCTTTTAGAGTTTGGATCGCATATTGTTCACGAGGTTCGTCTGTTAATTTTGCAGATTTTTGCTGCCTCGAGGCTTGACATGCCGAATGCTTGGCAAATGCCTCAGGTGAATTTTGGATAAATTTTAACAGTTTGAGATCAACCTCTCATGTTCTCTACTTCTCTATCATATCAGTGCATTCCAATCCACTCGTGTGCAGTGTTATATATTCAACTGGAATACTCTAGTGTCTGTGCTGTCATGCACTCTATTCTACTATTCTCTGCGGATGAAATTCAGCTTCTGGAACTCATAATTCTTACTGTATTGATTCACAATGCAAGTAAGTTCTCGAGTGTGGAGCTATATCTCTCTATGTAGCCAAACACTTATCTCACACTAGAGATAGATACTACGAGGGATGCAGTCAAGTAATAATTTTTTTGAGAGGACACTCAAGTAATAATTAATATTCCAAATAGTAAACTGTAATTATTTAACAGTAAAGTTAATAAAATAAAACCCTAGCTATTCTGAAATCACGTGATTGCCAAGGAAAGATCAGCGCATCATATAAAATAAGCAGTTTTTATGATTTTGGTTTAATTATTTTGGGGGGTCTAAAGAATGAAATTTTGCCTGATCCAAAATAACTCCCCCTCGCTTCTTCTGTTAGTCTCAGTCCCTACTGCCTTCATGATGCCATGACCTAACAGTTTGACACCATTCACAAACCTAGTAGCAAAGTTATCATATGGTTCTATCAGCCAACCTCTTCACTGTATGGTGCTTATTTGTGCCTGTGTTTAGTATGGCAGCATGTCTCCATCGATCTCCCAGTATCTTGAGTGAGGATCATATTAAATGGTTGATTTTTTATATGGAGTATTTTTTAGGATTGTGTATTTTCTTCTGAAGTTAGACTCATCATATAATGTGCCGCAACTCACTTTGAAAACCGTAATTACCTAACTTTCTTCTTGTTTTTTTAAAAACAACTTTAGCTATACTAATATCATATGCCATGACGATTGTGTATATTTTCACATTTTGCTAGTACCACACACATCTTGCTTTCATTCTGCACCAATTGTTCAGTATGACCAATTCTAGTACCCCTTGAGATGAAAAGGCAGCTTGCGATAGGTGTTCGTAAAAGTTCATGGAATGTTATGTACAAATATTGTAGGAAATTGTACCAAGGACTTTAGGAGATAAAGAGTGTAATTTACTTCAACCATCTAGCTTGTGTAAAAGAAATTGTTGAGTTTAGGTAATGCTATTAAATTTAAATTATCTTGTGGTTTCAACCTTTTACCCTTTTATATTTTTTTTACTTAATTTCTGATTTTAACTACCTTTACTCTGAGATGCTGTTTTTTTAACAAAAAAACAAGGGAACAAGTCATATTTAGACACGCCTTGTCTTTTGACTTCTTTAATTTCCACAAATGAAAAATATTTCTCAAAAAAGCCCAGCATGCTGTTTTCAACCATAAACCCATAATGGCATAATGTTCTGCTATATAACATTATTTAGTCCCTTCAAAAAATGGAACCTTTATTTTGGTCTTCCATACTTATTCATAAACCAAAGCAATAATGAAGTACTTCCTCCGTACCGCTAAGATTGTCCCATTTTACCTTTTGGGTCCGTCCCACTAAAATTCTCCCATACCAAATTTGGTAAAGTTTGTATGGCTCTAAATTATTCTTACTTTATCAATTCAATATCAACGACATAAACCACTTTTTATGGGTTTGCGTGCCACTCCCTCTTGTCCCATTGTTAGTGAGACGGAAAGAGTAATAAACCAAGTTATTCTTTTAAACTAACCACATCAGTCTAAGTATGTCTGTAACTACTTAGACTTAGGGTCAGGTACTCAAGTGGGAGAGATGCCACATAAGAACTAATACTGTTTGACTAGACATGTATGGAGTATTTGGCATCCCAATATCTCATACATGCTGGATAGGAACTAGTAACTACATATGATGCTTATCAATTAATGATTGCATGAAGTGTGTTCATAAAAAAGTAAAACCATGACTCTAGACATATAACAAACTAATACTGTTTGCCTAAACATGTACTCCCTCTCTCCCTTAAAACTTGGCCAAATTTGACTGGCACGGGGAATAATAAAGTAAAAGCTGTGTGGTTAAGGTTTGTACTAAGGAGAGAGAATTAACTGGAACCACCCATTTTTTACTTAAAATGGAAAGTGGCAAAGTTAGCGGGACAACAAAAAGGAAAGTTGGCAAAGTTTTAAGGGACGGAGGGAGTATTTAGCATCCCAATATCCCATATATGTTGGGTAGTAACTACATGTGTGGCTTATCAATTAATGATTGCATGTAGCACGTTCATAAAAAAGTAAAACAACGACTCGAGACATGCAACAATGTATTGTATGATGTGCATTTAGGACATCGTTATCCATGGTATGTGGGCAATGTCGTCACAGTTTTCGGTGAAAAGATAACATCCGATATTGATTTTCTGATACCTATTTCTTGTGAAGACTTACAAATACTGTTTTCTTAAACAGGGAGGTGTAGATGAGAATGAAGATCCAAGAGATGCTGCTATCCGAGAACTAAGAGAAGAAACTGGAGTCACTTCTGCAGAAATCATTGCTGAGGTTAGAAGTAGATTTTAACCTTGTTAGTTCATGTTGGAGTCATTATCTTCATTTGTTAACAAGAAAGTGGACGTTTGTAAAGATAGTTGGACCTTTTAATTTATCTTTTCCTCACCCAAAAAAGAATCCATGTTTCACAGAAAGGTACTCTCTCATGTAATCTGCCAAAAAGTTTACAAGCGATTTCAATTTGAAATTTTTTGTCAAGCACAAAAACAAAATTTCAAAATATTATTCGGATTCTATGATTTTTTGAGGAGTTTTACCTTGCCAAAAAAGATTGTAACTTGATCAAACATGATATCTTTTATTTGGACGTACATGTAATATATTTGTGATAAGTGAGTCAATGGAGCTTGTACTGAGCCTCATCATTGATTCTTGATTTGCTTCGACTTGATATATCAACATGATAATTACATAACTAGTTCTTGACATCTCATATGTTACACACAGGTGCCACACTGGTTAACATATGATTTCCCACTGCATGTTAGAGAAAAACTCAACCAGCGATGGGGTTCTGACTGGAAAGGTCAAGCACAGAAGTGGTGGGTTGATCTTATATTCTTATGCCCCGCTTGGTTCCCGTGTAGCTGGACACGGGAATTTTGTAGCTCTTTGCATATGTCTGCTGTGTACTACGTCATCAATTTACTGACAAATTACTAGTCCATGTTGCTCTCTAATTTCAATGTGTTCATAAGTTTAGGTTCCTCTTTAAGTTTACTGGAAAGGACAAGGAAGTCAATCTTCTTGGTGATGGGACTGAGAAGGCTGAATTTGGAGAGTGGTCTTGGATGTCACCCGAACAAGTTGTGGATCGTGTAAGTCCACTCTTTTACTCTTGAAAGTACTTCAACAATAACAACATTCAAACCTTAGTCCTTAAAGAGTTTGTGGTCGGCTAGCATGAATTGACATATGAAATCTGAACTAAAAAAAGATAAGATAAGATAAAAAAGATAAGATAAATATAAATATAAGATAAGATAAAAAAGATAAAATAAAAAAAGATAGAACGGTAAAGAAAATAAGAAATGTTATCTCATAAATATACTACCTCCATCGTTTTTAATAAATAATTTACAGTTGATATGCCGGTTAATCTCATCTAGTGAATATATATGTATATAATACATATCAATTTAAATATACATACATTTTTAAAGAGAAAGTTTTCCAAACAGGAGTAAAATATAGACAAAGTGCACAAATAGGTGTAATTATGTTTATACCCAAAATAGGTCTTATTTGGTTATATATCTAAAACACAAAACTTCCTCAATCCTATTTTAGGAAGAAAACAACAACGGTCCTATATATACATTTAATAGTGCCTTACTTCTAGAGCGAGATTATTTCAATTTATTATACGTAAATGTTATTTTAAAACATCTGTACGTAGTTTTGACATATTTGTATTAAACAATTGAAAAGGTAAATATGTTAAAATTAAAGGTTAGAATTATTCTTGATACAAGACACATTAAATGGAGCCAAAGACTCACTATTTTTTGGTTTCGGAATATGATGGAATAAAGCAAAATGACTCACTACATTGCGTGTGTTTCTTTGTTATGAAACAACATGCAATTTTGACGCGATTTTCACTATGGGTCATCCGGAAACAGTCTCTATGTGCTTCAGTACATGGGTAAGACTGCGTACATCCGACCCCCCTTATCCCACCGTAGGTGGGAGCCTCTGCGGCACTGGGGTAATGATGATGTTGATGACAAGACACATTAAATGATATAGGCCACTATTTGAAGATGGAAGAAATGGTAAAAACTTGCTAGCTTATTTCTTTTGTTTTGAAATAGTTAAAAGTTATATTATAAACGTCTTGTCTTAGAAAAATAAGACCACAAATTAAAAGATGTAGAAACTTTAAAGCTTTAATTGAAGCAATGTCTTGTACTATTGGAAAGCTATATGTCAAGAAATATTATTTAGTTGATTATTTAATGCAAAATAAAAGAAGTTTAAAAATGCATCAAAGCTACAAAATTGACAAACGAAGTAGGGAGCTAAAATGCAGCCGTGGGATTTGAACACTGGACCTAAAGGAAAAACATGCTGCACGCCTACCATATTTACAATCCGAACAGTTGTTCTTTCTTCGTGCAGAGAAGTATATGTTACAATTTTCTGAGGGGGGCTCTTAATACATACATACATACACACACACACATTGCGGCCGTCAGAGAATGGGGGCGCTGGCACCGGCTCACCCCCTAGTTCTGCCAGCGAGTTCCAAACATTACCTTAATGGACACTAAATTTTATGCCACCTAATAAATAATAATATAGTTCGAATGAAGGTTGTGATGACAATAGAGGCAATTGGATCCTTTATTTTCCTTTTTGGTAACATTTGGCTGAAATATTTTCACTGCAGGCCGTGGATTTCAAGAAGCCGGTTTACAAAGAAGTTATTTCAGTTTTTGCTCCATTTCTTCAGTAGCTCCAGGGCTGTGTCAGTCAGTTCTGCATCCTCTCCGTAGTGGACCATGGCATGCAATCAGAGTGTTACTGGGGCAAGATGGAGAGCCAAATAATGTCCCAAGAACAATTTTCCCAAGTCTGTATCTTATTCTCTTGATGAACTGTATATGGCTGATAAGTTACAGAGATATGAATGAGAACCTGCCATCATTTGCGATATTAACTTTAGAGCATCTCCAATGCTATAATGTGCACGGTGCACATGTGGCATGAGAGAGATAGACACAAAAAATTGAATTTATAACATTTCTCTTTCATTCTTTCCACGGTTTTATGTCTTTTTGGTAAGTTTTCCTCTGCAATGTCAAGCACAATGTCTATATCTAGACATTATGTTTGACATTGTGAAGAAAAACTTACCAAAATAATATATGATCCTTCAAATAAGGAGAGAAGTATTCAATTTACTATTTTTTTATTGGCTATTTCTCATGCCACGTATGCACCGTTCACATTTTAGCATTGAAGATGCTCTTATGCCATCAACCCCATCAGGACATTATTGTAATATTGTTATAGAAAATGCTGCCCTGTTTGAACGCATGGATCAGAATATGATGTTTCGAACTTCTCTACCCCGTCGGTGACTTAGTTCCAACTAGATTGAGATCCTTTGCCGTGTGGCATAGGTGCCTTGCGGCAACGGACGGATGAAGAACAAGGTGCCTCGAGGTGCGGTCCTTCGATATCTGCGGCCGTTGTTGGTTTTTTTATCGGACGGCTCTAATCAGCCGGGCACCCTACCTTGCTGCAAAGCAAGGCAGCGGTTCCGGATCCGTTTCAACTAGGGGACAATGTTTTATGTTCATCTACTACGTATTATTTATAATTTTTATTTTTGAACAATGCTCATAGGTTTCATCCATGGACTACGATATATGATTGTGCAATATGCCAATCTTCAATCTTCATCAATCCCCTAATTAGTGTGTAATACATTTATTCTCTCTTTTTTTTCATCTACCTTTTAGCCTTTTAGGTATACTACTAGGCAGACTTGTCAAGTTAAAGAAAACTTATTACGGTGATAGAAGTTTGTACTCCGTACCATAAAAAAGTTCCAAATAACTTTTGCAAAGTCAGAACTAACTGGGCTTGATGAATAAATCGATAAAATCCTTGTAATTAGTCATGGACCCGGCCTGGTTCGACTGGCCCGGGAACCAGCCCGGCCCGGGAAACCAGTTCTGGGCCTTGTCCCGGCCCGAGGGGGTAATGGGGGTGGTTCTGGTACAAGAAAAAGGCGAACCGGCCCGGCTGGTTCGAGCCCGGTGCGGGCCTCTTTTTTTTTTTTTTTTTTGGGTTTAGGCTGGGTTTAGGTGACCTGGGCTGGGTAATTCCAAGGGGTTTGGGGTTTGGGGGGAGATGGGGGGTAGGGGTTGAGATAAATAAGAAAAAAAAACGGAACCTGCCCGGAACTGGTAGCCTCCCGGGCCTTACCCAAAACCTTCTTGGCCCGGCCGGGCCTAGGCCCGAACCGGAACCGGACCGGGCCTGGTCCACCACTACTTGTGAATTGTAATCAGTGGTGAACCCTGTTTAGGAACATACTTTGTTATTTAATGGTGTCTTGAATATCATCATTGCGCAATGCCTAGTCTTGGCTAATACGTAGTAGTTTATATATAGATGATCAAATTTCATTTTTAGTCATTCGATTATGTTGTATTCGCCATTTGTTCACTTTTACTTCCATTTTCTTTTTCGATTGTGAATTTACAAAACTTTGCTTTTATCCAAAATGCTCTCATGAATTAAATTCGATGGAATTTTAAAATTTGATCAAGAAATAAGGATCTTTTTGTATAGGGAAAAATATCAAATAAGCCCCCTACTACTGTGAAAAAGTCAATTAGACCCCCAACCCAATTATCATCCAATTGAGTACCCCTACTTCAAAAAAAAAAAATTAAATCTGTCTTTTTAGAGGTCAGCCAACATTTCTCCGGTATACCTGCACACGTGGACTACAGGTGTCAATTTTTTTATTTTTCTTTTTCTTCTTTTTTCCATTCTATTTCCCTTTCTTTCTTCCTTCTATTCTCTGTCTTCGGTCGTCCCCCTCCATCTCTGCACCCCCTCCTTTCCCTTTCGTTCTTCCATTCTCAGGATACCCCCTCCCTATTATAACTCCATCACGCACATATATTGACCAACACAAAAAGACACAAACACATACAAACTATTCAACAACAACGAAACTAATTAGCTCCATTGCTCCAATTTCTTCGTGCCTAATCAACCCAAAATCCCAATAAGCGTGATTTCTTAGCTTTTAGATCCAATTGAATTAAACTTTGAAACGAAAGAAAGAAGAGGAAGGAAAAAAAGAAAACAAAAGAGATAAGGGAGCAAGAAGGTGATTAGGCGGCAGTGGGAGGCGGCGGCGACCAACCAGCGTTAGGCGAGGGGGACAATCCGATTGACAGGAGTATTTTTCTGAATATTTCATTTACGCTCATCACTATGCAATTACATCCATCCCTGCGTGCTGGATCCAGGGCGGCGGCCTTTTGAAGGCGGCGTTAGGCGGTGGTCGGCGACCAGCTTGCCAGCTAACCAAATAATACGTGGTGGCCAGTGAGGGTGACGAACCAGGGGAAGCTAGAGGAGGGGAAGCTAGAGGACTCATGTCAAAGAGCGGAGAACCAGGGAGGGAAGAAAGAAAAATGGGAAAGTAAAGAAAGGCTAAAATAAAATAAAAGGAAAAAGAAAAAAAATTAAAGGTTATGCAATGTCACCTGCCACATCTACATATTTACTCGGAACCGGGAGACTGCCGGTCAAATAGTCAATTTGATTATTTTACATGAGTTCAAGGGTCTAATTGGATGATAATTGGGTTGGGGGGTCTAATTGACTTTTTTTACAATGGTAAGGGGCTTATAAGTGGACTTTTTCAAACAAATGGTTTATAATAAAAGAACTTAAAGTTAAGAACCAATCAACCAATGCAGTCATGCAGAGACGGCATATGCGAATGATCGAATATCAGAAGTTTCGGTATAGACAAATATGTTAGAAAAACAAAAAAGACTTAACTAAAAGAGTAAAAGTGTTACTAAAAACATATGTGAAGGGACAATAAAAAGCAAAAAAAAAAACATGTGTGGTGGGCATGCTAAACTAATTGGTTTTATTGGTATGATCATATTACGTAAATGCGATATAATGTGTAGAAACACAAATATTCACGTACTAACTTATTAATTTATAAAGATTATTATATTGTACTTGTAGCATAAGCATTAATTAGATGGTTAAACTCTAATTTTGGAGGTCCTCACCCTTTGCCTAAAGAAGCACTGAACTAGTGGCAATGGTGGGATGATGATGAAAGACAATAACTATCGGAAAATTTGATGCTATGATTAATAACACTAAGTTGATACTGTGATAGCGAGTGACGTATCTAAAAAATTTACTAATGTTTGCGAGATTACAAATTTTTATGGAGTATAACATAAAAAATATCTACCCAAACATACATAATAGTTGGTGATTATAGAGATACAATGAGTTGGTGGTGCCGTGGTGATGGTTATTGAAGAAGAGGTTGTGAGATTCATAATGATTAGTATTCACCCGGATTCGGAGCCTCTGCCTAACTTTAGAGCAAGGTAGAGTGTTTTGCTTCTTGACAACCGTCTGATCTTGGGGTCCACTCTTTCGCCGATCTCGAGACCTCTTCAACGCTGCTCTGCCGTTCGATGCGCAAGGGACTCTGCCTTACAATAGAGGATCCTGATCCGTATTCACCCTCTATTTGGATAGTGAACATCACCCTTCATTTGTTTAATATTAAAAAGTAGAATCAACATCATTGTTGACTGTTGAGGTTAAGTCCCGCAGATCCGAAAGCCCAACACACGCTTTGGATATTAAAGACGTAGGACTGAGTTAAAAGGTGTATAAAATATAAAACAGTGAGTAAATCTGAACTCAGGAGCTAGTCTTGTATTAAGTGGTTCTCTGGTTACACTGGAACTACCCGAACGGTACGTCAGAATAGTGTCTAATACAAGAACAAGAGAGATAATTCTATTCTAAGCTCTGAGTATCAAAATGCTAACCCTTTACAATGTATTCAATTCACGTATTTATACAAGAGAGGGGGTAGGTGGGATGATGACGTGGTTGAACCCCGTTGGCTGTTTCTTCTGCCACTTGTACACCTATGCCTTCACTCGCTATTGCCATACTCCAACATTTAATGCACTCTGCCACTTGCCGGTTCCTGTTCGGGCACCCCGTTCGGGGTGCGGGAACTCCCTAGTGGGAGTCTAATGTCAGTACCTCGTTAATTAGCTCAAGTGGACAAATCAACCCGATTGCTGTTCAGGTATCTTCCCCGAGCGGGATGTCTTGAACTTCTCTGACCGCTTTTGGCCCCCCTACTTCCTTTGGGCCATTTTCTGCTTTGGACCGGGTATGTTGGGCTTCGGCCCAATACCTCAACAATCATGATAAGTTATGTTCCCAATTCTCACCCTCTTCTTGAAATGTAACCAAAGTAGAAGTCCTTATAGAGTTGGAGTGGTGGTGCATGAAGGTGATTAATGACGGTGAAATAATAATGATAATAATAAAGAAAAACTATCTAATAAGTCCTACTAATATTTGAAAATTAAAGCAACAATCACATCCTTATATTATATAATCACTTGATCAAGCATGTAAACCTTATAAGAAACACTCAAAATTGCAATATAAGTGATAAGCAATATATTACCTTGTTAAGATGCTTGTGTGACACCCATGCGTCACTTTTTAAGCTCTTTCCCTTTAAATTATTAAATGTCGGTCTAATGTTAGTTAAACTTCGCTCGCTGCGTAAGCCATTTGAAAGGAATTTAGAGTGCGAAAAATGCTTGAGGTACACAAAATGTGTACACATGTCTGCCCTTCACAGAAATTTTGTCTATCAATGAGTTGTCTGTGACAGACAAAATTTTTGTGAAGGACAGACATGTGTATACATTTTGTGTACCCCTAACAAAACTCTAGAGTGCACACCCCCCACAAAACCTTGAATGGCCTTCATCATTGGAAGTGTACAAAGCAAATAAATTACTTTATGTAGACAATAGTAGATAAAGGAAATCAATTAGTCCAATTTTGAAATCTCATTGATGGAAGAAAGTAATTCAAAGGGAAAAAATTATACTATATACTTTTTCTTCCATCATGATATATACATGAAATAAGTTTTTCTTGTTCGAGGGAAAGATCGTTTGGAATACTAATTCTTTAAAAATGAAATGTGAAACATCAAAGTTCTTTGTGATGAAAAGCATTTACTTTCCATTAGAGTTAAATTCACTTTTAGTCATTGACTATTGTGTTAGTGACACATTTGATACTCTATTTTTAACTTTTCCATTTATAGATTAGCCATTGGTTTTAAAATTTACTGCATTTATTGTCAAATCGATATTTTTAGTCCCCATTATGACTTTGACATAATAAGTATATGTTTAAAAATTTTATTATAATAATCTAAAAGTATATCAAAAAACAAAATCGGAAAACTTCATAGATGAATATTAAAAGTGCAAAAATTAAAAGGGAAAAAATCAAAATCAAAGTGTTAAAAGTGTCATTTAAAGTGGCAAAAACTCGTTTTTCTTATGTCAAATGTATCCCCACAAAACGATTCCATGGAAAATAACCACACAAAAGATGGATCGAAAAAGCTAATTTTGCAATAGTGGACCCACGTGAATTCATTAACTCGTAATGAACAGTGGTAATGGCAAAAGTACGTCCACTCTTTAGTGTTGGTGTCTTTTTTGGCATCTTTAGTCTTCATTTTGACAAATCATCATATTTTACATCAAAGTAAACCCATCGTATTCAAATTTTAAAACAAATTTTCTCACGCAAAACATGAATCATGTTTCTAGCCGTTACCCCCGTCCCAGATAGCTGTAATCTTTCATTTATCTGTTCTGAATAAAAACTTTGGAATACCCAAAATCTGATGTTTTCTAAGTAGCCTCGAAGAAATGAAAACAGTGAAGGTGAAGCTTCTCAAAAAGCTCAAAACAATCGGACATCGTAAGCGGGAAAGAATCATGCGATTGAGGGCTTCCGATGGGTATATTCCGGCATCCCCTCCGCCGCCGGCGACCGATCCCCTCGCTCCGCCGATCCCCATTTTCTTTCAAGGAGAAGAAGAAGAACCCAGAAGTACTCTCCAGAGCCTTGTCAAAGATCAAGAACCAGAGATCATTGAAGTTTCTGAGCTGATGAAGGATCTTGAAGATGAAGAAATGGAGTTTCTTGATGACGTGGAAGACAAAGAGAACATCAGACCTTCACCGGAGGCAAAAAGATTGGAAAATCTTAGTCTAATGAAGGCAAAGATTGAATCTTTGACAAAGTGGGATTCAGGATTTTTCCCCTTTTCCGAGATTGATTCAATCGAAGAAGAAGAAGGTAAAGATGAACCTCCTGCAAAAGTGAGAAAAATGGAAGGAAAGGCTATCTCCCTTTTAGATTTTGAGGAGAAATGTCCACCTGGGGGAAGTGATTCAGTAATTGTATACACAACAGGGCTGAGAGGGGTTCCAAAGACGTATGAGGATTGTCAAAACATGATATTGCTTCTCGAGAACTTTCGGGTTTTGTTTTTCGAGAGAGACATCTCGATACATTCGGAGTTTAAGGAGGAATTATGGAGAATGTTAGGACAAGAAAACAAGATGAAGTTGATTCCACCAAGGCTGTTCATAAGGGGGAGGTACATTGGGGGAGCTGAAGAAGTGTTTGCCTTACATGAACAAGGGAAGCTTAGGCCTCTCCTTGAAGGCATTCCTCTTGATGTGGGACAAGAGGTTTGTGGAGGGTGTGTGGGGATGAGGTTCATCTTGTGTTTCAGATGCAGTGGGAGCAGAAAACTTCATCTTGATCAGAATCATGATTATGACAGTGATAATGGTAATGGTGAGTGGAAGAAATGCCCTGAGTGCAATGAGAACGGGTTGATTGTTTGCCCTTTCTGTTGTTGAATTGAAAATGGATGTTAAGATTTGGGATAGTTTACATAATTACATTGTTGATTGTGATGCCAAGTTGGCAACATATCAAAACCAATGTATACAATGTCTTATAATTTATATAGTTCATTACTATGATAAATTATAAATTACATACATGGATGGTGCGTTTGACATTCCTACAACCTCTCTTAGGGCATCAATGCATTTTTCTTTTGAGGGAATCTCACTTGTTTAAAGCTCCAAACAATCTCTTTAGGTGATGCAGACAAGAGAAAAAGCAAACAATGTAGACAAAAGTGTCAAAGTGATACAAATATTCTCTTTTCTACACCAAGAGGTATCTAATACACACAACATGAACATGCATAGTACATGAATTTATTCGAGGTATTGCCCAAGCCGTTGCCCACTTTAAGACCGTGATTCAAAGCCCGACTATACTATACTCAGATAGTTAGATTCATGTATAGCATCAGCATTATATAAACTTAAATCTAATTGTATCTGGATCATGAATTATTGAGTACGGGAAATACTAGATAATTTATGCTTGGATCATGCAGTAATAAATGTCATTACTTAAACCACAAAGTATGAAGTCGTAGCATAAATAAAACTTCAAATGCTTTGGAAGCGTGACATAAGAACACTTATTCCAACACTTGAAATAAGTGTTTTTTTCATTAGTGTGACAAAAACAAACAAGTGTTTGTGTGTTTCTCAAGATGTCCAGTACACTTGATCACTTGCCAAACTTCCTCAGCTGACTAAGCCTCATCGCAAACTGGAATCTAGCGTCAAGGGAAACCCAAGAAATAAGTGTTGTGCAAATGTCATATGACCATGACCGCACTCTCACCAGTTCTGCAATACGTTAACAAAAACAATTGATAACAAATGTGTTTACTTTACGAGGTTTATGTATTCATATATATGGTGAAATAAACCAAATCACTATCCAAGACATTGTTGACCAACACCCTCCACAACTTCAGCATTCCAGGCATCCAACTCCACTTGCGGTATATACTGTTCACTCCGTGTTTTTATGACTACAAAGTTTGGTAAGATCGTCTCACACATAAGGGTCTCACATGATAAACAATCATTGTGATCTTCTTTGAATCAAACTCCAATGACTTCGCATAATAGATCAATGGGTGGGAGCTAGGGGTACACACTTTTTGTACACAAAAAGTGGGACAGACAACTCATCTCGCGACAGACAACTTGTCTGTGGGGGACAGACAAGTGTACACTTTTTGTGTACAAAAAGTGTGTACCCCAATTTTTTTTCATAGATCAATATCAGCCAACACCTAATGCTTGCCATCAACATTTAGTCGAAGAAATACGTGCAGAAATAATTACACTTTGAAACTAAAAAGAATGACTAATATATGAAGCAGTGACTTCTATCTACGACAAGACAATATTTTAGAAAGACTAGTCCAGTGAATTCATTTGAGGGCCTATCCTCTGTCCAACTCCTTGCCGATTAGATTCTTCAAAAGTTGATGTTACATTTTAAAGGAGACACCAAATACGTTACACATAAGTACAAATTTGGAGGATACATGTTTATGGAGATCAAAACCATTCCCTCTAACTTTAAACCATACCTCTTCACAGGGGCGTATCCATGATTGAAGCTGTTTACGGCTTACGCACTAGGCATAATAAGAACAAATGAATTATCTGGCCAAATGATTAGCTATAGATATGTTGCATGCAGGAGATGTCCCAATGGCTTTTGCCTAATAACATCCATCCAGTGTTGTATGACGGAGTCACTATATAATCTTCACCCCCAAGCAAGATACCTTATCCAAGTCGAGAAAGCTTTGAAACCGCCCTAGAAAAGCCTCGAAAGTTTCTGGAATTCGAAAGTTTTCCTCTGCTAAGCCTGCAATCCAGTTTGATTGTGCAAAAGAAGAAGAAATGGCGAACAAGAAAGAGATGAGCGTGGTGAAGGGTTTGGATGTGGAGAGGTACATGGGGAGATGGTATGAGATCGCTTCATTCCCGTCAACGTTTCAGCCTAAGAATGGGGTGGACACCAGGGCGACGTACACGCTTAACGAAGATGGTACAATCCATGTGTTGAATGAGACTTGGAATAACGGGAAGAGAGCCTTCATCGAGGGAAGTGCTTACAAAGCGGATCCCAAGAGTGATGAGGCTAAGCTTAAGGTCAAGTTTTATGTTCCTCCTTTCTTGCCCCTCATCCCTGTGACAGGAGACTACTGGGTTTTGTACATAGACAAGGATTATCAGTATGCTCTGATTGGTCAACCTCACAGAAGCTATCTTTGGATTCTGTGCCGCAGTCCTCATCTTGATGAAGCGATCTACAACGAGCTGGTTGAGAGGGCAAAAAGTGAAGGGTATGATGTAAAGAAGCTTCACAAGACGACCCAATCTGATAATCCGCCAGAAGTCGAGGGTGCATCGAATGACAAGGGAATTTGGTGGATAAAATCCCTCTTTGGAGGGTAAAGAGTGTCAATAACAGCAATGAAGGGTTCATCATGTACTTAACAAAAATAAAGAGAGCTTCATAGCTGACTAGTACAGATATGAGCGTCTCAGATTTGTGCACAGTTTGGAGGGTGTCTTTCTGATGTTGTTATTAGTGTCTGGATGGTATTGGTTATCTGATGCTGAAAAGATTAGTGTGTGTAGCGTATACGTTTGTTTAAAAAAAAAAAAAAAAAAAAAAAAAAAAGATCAGATATGACATATTCTCGTTTCAATGGGTCTAGTATGGTCAGGGGCGTAGCCAGGACACTGGGCTAGACTGGGCCGGTACAAAGAATATTATTGGGAAAAAATTTACACGAAATTTTTTACACTAAAAATATTGACATTTTTCAGATTTGGGGTGGGCCAGGGCCTAGCCTGGGCACCCCCTAGCTCCGCCCCTGAGTATGGTAACACTATTGGGGCGTTAAGAGCAAATGAATTATCTGGCCAAATGATTGGATCTGTTGCATGCAGATGTCCCAATATTTTTTTTACGCGGAGGATGCCAGAATGTGACAACAGATTGGACTGCAAGGGTAGCGGGGTTAAAGCTCAGGGTTGGACAAATGTCAAGCTAGGGACGGAGTCCTTACAGGTTGTCTCAAACCTGAGGAACAGGGAGGGGTTCCTATTTTGATACAGTTATTGATGAAAGTAGTATGCGGTCCGCGAATGTAGTATTGAAATCATTCGTTGTATGCGGTCCGCGAATGTAGTAAGTACCTCACAAGTTAGCCAGGGCTGCTCTTCGTTTGTCGGATGGCTATCTCTTTTTAATGTTCCTCGTGACTGTATTGATTAGTCTGTTGGAGAACGATAAATTATATTAATAACATGCTAGTTTAACTTCGACATTAATTGACCAAAAAACATTGACTTTGCAAAATAATTTGGAACGGAGGTAATATATACAAACCGTTGAGAAAAATGGACAGTTTTCCGGCCTAATCATAAAGCAGTTGAAAATTTTGGATAAAGGTTTTAATAGGGATGAACAAATAACACTGGAACTTGGATTGGTAGAAGGGGTTTTGATGGGATGAAAGGTATCTTCAGTTTTAGATTTATATATAAGAAAATAATCAAAATATTCATGTAAGGTAGGCCTAAAAGTTAAAATTTTAGGCCTCTTTCGGTTGAGGTGCTTCCAGGACAAACTATTTGATGAAATTTTGTGAGACTACCTTACATGATCACTACCCTATATTTGAGAGTAAAAATATCCTAAGAGATTGAGTTATTTACAACAAAAGTACAAAACCTAAATCAGTTGCAACAAAAAACCTAACTCATTGTTCAAATTTTAGTTTTTTAAAGTGCTAAAAATTAACTTTAAAGTGCTCAATTTGATCATTAACATGTATGTGAATATATTAATCCTTTTTTTCAAGCAAAAATCTAAATCAACTTTTTCCATGTTTTAGCAAACCCTCCCTATGTACAGGCCAAATGAATGAGGTTATGTTGGTTGTAAAATTTGGGCAAGAAATGGTATGAGCTTAAAAGATACTACCTTCGTCACTTAAAACTTTGTAATCCTTAAATGTTCAAGTCAACGGTGATAAAGAATGCTACAATTAATTTTGTTTGTGAAACCTTTCACGAGAACTTTCATTAATTTGAATTTTCTTTATGTAATTTAACACTTGATTTTTTTTTTGTTAATTGGCTCTAACTTTTTCACATTTGGCAAACTTGATTCATCTCATACTTCTATTTACAAAAAAAAATCACTTTAGTTTGTGGAATTAGGATGTTTTACTTGGACTGTAATTTGTTGGTTTGGTCTGATCTGGCCTATTTAAGTCATTTTTGGTAAATGTCTGATCTCTGTGTATTTTATACAGGGGCGGCCCTGTATATTTGAAGGCCTAGGCACGAATAATTCAAAATGGGCCTAAATTTTAAACAAATTGTAAAAGCTGTTTCTTTTTAAATTACATGCAAAATAATAATATTTGAAGCGTATTTTTATTTATTTTCATGTTTCTAGTATAGTATGCATTTGAGAAATGTCTACATTTAGCATTAAGAGGATAATTAAGTTGCGTCTCTTTTATAGGGCCTTTTTTCAATTACAATATCATTTGTTTTGGCATCTAGATTCTAATCAGCAGGGTCATAAATATCCAAAATCAAATGACCAACAATTGACGTTGATACATTTGATCTATCCAATTCATTTTTGGTTGCTCACTATCAATGTTATCAACTCCTAAATTCTGACCTCTTACGACATGATCATTGTTAACTGTTTCGTTTTCGGTTGTTGAATCATTCTTCTCCTTAAAGTTCTTGGGAGGACCTTCTGAATTTGTCTTCTTCATAAAAATAAACTTTTCTATTGAACCTTTTTTTACTTACGGCACCATTATCTAATCTTCTCTTCTTCATTTTTTTTGCCATCCGTATTCCCTCATTTTTATTAAACTTTGAAGTTAAATAAGTTTATAGTTTAATTATAATTGAAAATTGAAAATTTGTACCTAACAAAATGAATAAATTATAACACCAACTATTCTATAGGTAATAATCAACAATTAAGTGATTAACATGTACTACGTACTCCGTAATAATTAAACTAATTAAAAATCAACTATTCATAATCATTTATAAACATTAAACAACTATGAATTTAATCAATTTATCAATTAATAAGCAGGTCAAATATCCACATGTTTGTAACTTTGTATTATTCAAATAAATTAATAAAAGAAAATGTTAATTGTTAAAAATTGATCACATAATCAATAAAGAAAATGTTAAAAACTACTGCGTATAATTTTGCAAAGTGGAAAACAATGGTAATGGCTTATGGCCAAACAGCCGAAGCAGAAGGTTGGAACTCAGAAGGTCAGAAGGTTTACTGCGTGACTTTACAGCTGTGGGGGTGAAGGGTTACGGAAGTAACTGAACTCAGTTTACGGGATTGAACTTAGGACCACTGAATTCAGTTACGGAAGTAACTGAACTCAGTTTACGGGATTGAACTCAGTAACTGAACTCAGTTTACGGGATTGAACAACGTTAGTTTAGTTACTCCGTGTTTTTTGGGGCTTTTGGGCTGCACAAAAATTAAAAATTTTGGGCTGAAAATCAGCCTACTCAAGCATACTTTAAAGAAATAATTCTGGGCCTAAAAATTTTTCAATTTTTTGAGCCCAGGGCCACTGCCCCACCTGCCCCCTCAGGGCCGCCCCTGATTTTATAACTACGGAAGTCTGTTCCGTTTAAGTCTGATATGTGACTGAAAACGGTTCACATAAAAACATCCTTTTTATTATTATTTTTTTATGGTAAGTAAAAACATTCTTAGAATACAAAATAGTGATCCAAATAGTCAATAAAACTTGCAACATGTTAAATAGAAATACAAATTGTCACTAAACCTTCTCATCTCAACAGTCATATATGAGATACAATAAATGATGTTTTAAATAATCATTTTAATGTTTTACTTCTTACAAAAAAAATAATACCCACAATTTATCAAAATTATTATTCAAGCTAAATAATACTACATAGAATAATTAACGTAAATATGTCACATATTGTTTTGGATTCCTGCATTTTTGATTTGTTTTTCATCCCTATAATATATATTATTATTTTTTAGTCTAGCTAAGTAGGTAACCACTCCATACATGAAAAAGTTATTGTCAGTTTCATTAATCAAATAGAAACTCTTAAATTAATTTTTTATAGTTTTTTGGGCTAGTGTGAGACTTCAAATATTTAAACTAATAATTTACATTTTGAAAAATATGTATTAAAGACCTCCCAAAAAATTAAATTGATTACTCTTTAAATAACATGATAAAGAATTAGAATAAAACTATTAATCAATGTTTTTTTGTAAAGTGGAAGTTGTTATCATCGGTGCCTTAAAAAACACAACTTAAATATCAGGGATGAAAAATAAAAAATAATTTTATAATAATGTAAAACAAAATAATAATGTAAAACAAAATGAACTGTATGTATAGGGACTACAAATATATTAAAAATCTAGGGACTACTGTATACTACTACCTCCGGGTTTTTTTTAATCTTCACAGTTTGACTTCACACAAAATAAGAAAAGAAATTTGACTTTACTGTAGAGTACACTGTTGAGGCACTGTTTGACAATGTTTGGCACTGTAGAGACACTGTTTGGCACTGTTGAGACACTGTTTGACACTGTTTTGATGTAGATTTTTTTGCCAAAAAAGGAAGTAAGGAAGTGTGAAGTTTATTTTAGACCGTCCCAAAAAGGAAAGTGTGAAGTTTATTAAAAACCGGAGGGAGTAGTATATTTTTGTTATCCTCAATGGACCAAATTTTAAAAAACAACATCCACAGTTCCACGGCAAATTATACCGTACACCCGGTTGTACGGTGAGAACCGTACAACCGGGTATTTTTGTAATTAATTAGAATTTCGATGGTAAAGGTCGGAGCTCTGTTCTTCTCTGTTCTGCGTTGTTCGCTGAGGTGTGGTGAATAGCCGCCGACCTGGGCGTTCCTATCTCCCAAAAAATCGATGGTCTTCTTCTTACTTTTCCGTTCCTTTCTTTTCTTTTCATGCGGCATCCAATCCAAATCTCAACGAGAAGCTTCTTCACCAACATTTTTTTTCTTGATCTACGCTTTCCTTTCACCGTCCCCACAATCCCACTAACCATCAATTCTGTTGCTTTTCATCAATATATCTATGATACTTTAATATTATATTTTATATTTTGTTTTAAAACTTTCAGCTTATGAATTTCTAATATAAGTTTTACGCTATGTTCAAAATGAGTATATTGTTATAATGAATATGAGTGTTCATATTCATCTTCATATTGAGTGTTCATAATGAATATATGAGCACATTAGAAAAATCATATGAGCATACACAATAGAAAATTTGAGCATATTAGAAAATTCAAATGAAGTACACAATACAAATTTGATCGTACTGTAGATTTTAAATAAACTTTTTGTATTTTTTTCGTTGCTCATTTCTTAAGTTATGTATGCTTATTTGGTACTATGAGCAGAGATCACGATACTTAATTGAATTGTTTTAATACTCAATAGAGAAGTTCCAGTGTTCAAAGAAAATATCTTCATGTTCAACTAACAAAACTTACGATT